ATCCGAACCCCGGGCCACCAGCATCGGAGCGCGTGCACTTAACCACCAAGCCATTAGGCCGGCCCTCTGCTTCTTTTTTTTTAAAAGTATTTGTCAGTTCGTAACATACTATAAGATTTGCTTATTTATTACTTTGAATGTCCATTAAATGCCCCCACCGCCCCAAACCAGAGCAGGAATCTTGAGATTTCCCTGATGCAGGTTTCTCCAGTGCCTGGCATCCAATGAGTGCCTCCAAAATATTGAATTCAACTCAAGTGTCTTCTCCGCCGTGCAGGCTTCTGGTTCTCCCAATGCAAAACCTTCTAACCTGCCTTCCACGGGACCACCAGGTTGGGAGCCGGAAGGAAACTACAACCCCCAGCAGGCCGCGCGCCCGGACGCCGCGTCGTCGTCAGCGTCGCGCGCGGCCCGCCGGGAGTGGTAGTTCGCAGCTGCGCTCTCGCCCGGACTCCTTCTCCCAGACGTCCCCGCGCGTCGTCCCGCTCGCCCTCCAGGCCGCCCGCGTCTGGCCGGAATCTGCCCTCCGCCGCCGCCGCCATGCTGCCCGCCGCGCTGCTCCGCCGCCCGGCCCTGGGCCGCCTCGTGCGCCAGGCCCGCGCCTACGCCGAGGCCGCCGCCGCCCCGGCTCCCGCCGCGGGCCCGGGACAGATGTCTTTCACCTTCGCCTCCCCCACGCAGGTTCGGACACCGGCCGGGCTCGGGACCCCGCCGCGGCCGCCGCCCCCTCTCCAGACCCCAGACCCGCGACCCTCTCCTGCGTGGTCTGGGATCCGAGCCCCCCAGCTCCCGGGTCTCCGCCGTCCATTCCTGATCCGCGCCCTGTGCCCTTCCCTCGTGTGGTCCATGATCCCAGCCCCCTAACCCCCAGGTCACTGCCCCCCATTCCTGACTCGCCTCCTGTGCCCTTCCCACGTGTGGTCCGGGATCCTGGCCCCCAATCCAGGTCACCAACCGCATTCCTGACCCCGCTTCCTGTGCCCCCTCCTGTGTGGTCCCGAATCTTAGCCCCCCAACCCTGGGTTGTGGTCCCCCATTCTGAACCTGCACTCCTCTGCCGTGTGGTCTGGGATTCAAGCCCCTCAACCCCCAGGTTGCTGCCCCCCCATTCCCCACCTCACTTTTCATCCCTCCCACCTGAGATCGAGAATTTAAACTCCTGGACCTTCCACCTGGAATCCCACACCCAAGGGCGGGAGCAGGGCCAGAGTCCCTCGCACCTCTTCAAAGATAAATTCCTCGTGTGCCCCCCGGGCTGGCACACTTTGCTGTTTGTGCCTTTGGAGCACGTTGGTGTGCAAGGGTGGCTCAATTTCATCTGTTTCTTGTGGACAGAGAGTCTAAGGCCCTGCCCAGAGACCAGAAGTAAAGCACCCAGCCCAGTGGTAGTTCCCAGGTCATTTCACTGCAAGGGACACTGAGTCCAGGCTGCATGGGCCTGGCCTGCGGTGACCCATTCCCGGTGTGTTCTCTGCAGGTGTTCTTCAATGCCGCCAACATCCGGCAGGTGGACGTGCCCACGCAGACAGGAGCCTTTGGTATCCTGGCTGCACACGTGCCCACCTTGCAGGTCCTGCGGCCGGGGCTAGTCGTTGTCCACGCGGAGGACGGCACCACCTCCAAATACTTCGGTGAGTCCAGTGGGAGGGCAGAGGGGCGGGGCTGGGCAGGGGCCACAGGTCCAGGAAAGTCTGTCCTTATCTCAGTTGAGGCCACAGCGCAAGCAAGCCCGACTCACCCGCATTCCCTTGGTCCTGGCTGTGGTTAAGTAGCGTGTTGTGGGGTGGAGAGGGACGGATGCCAAGAAGAGAAGTAAAACTTTGTCGGGGCAGCTGGTTTAAAAGAGGAAAGAGGCCTGTGTGGGAGGAACCACTCTAAAAAGGCGTGCACCAGCATTTTGTTCACTCGTACAGCCGGTTTTGAACCCAGGTCTTCTTCACCCCAACCCCAACTCAGCTGAGCGACTGGTGGGTGAAGGAGCTCTGTTCTCTGTGGATTTCCATCCCCCGTGCTGGACCCCAGGGCCACCCTTTGGTGCCACTCTCGTGGCTCTGGGGCTGACCGCATCCCACGGGCCTGGATTCGGAGCCCTCACTCCCCACTTCTCCCGCAGTGAGCAGCGGCTCGGTCACCGTGAACGCGGACTCCTCGGTGCAGTTACTGGCCGAAGAGGCTGTGACACTGGACATGCTGGACCTGGGGGTGAATATCCCGGGGAAACTGAGGCACTGAGCAGGCGGGCGCTCCCAGGGTGTGGGGGAGGGAACTCGAGGGAGGGGCAGGCACCAGCCCTGGGTCCCTGCTCCGTCCTCACCCGCCACCCACCCCCCGCAGGCAGCCAGAGCGAACTTGGAGAAGGCGCAGTCGGAGCTGTCCGGGGCGGCGGACGAGGCCGCCAGGGCCGAGATCCAAATCCGAATCGAGGCCAACGAGGCTCTGCTGAAGGCCCTGGAGTAGGCGGTGCGTGGTCCTCGCCGGCAGGGAAGCGGAGGGGGGAGCTGGATATGGGCGGCCAGGGTTGGTGGAACCCACTCCTGTGGGTCCAGACTGGAGGGGGGTGTCCTTGCAGAGGAGGCCACCAGGGGGCAGTGCAGGGCCAGGTTCTGCTCAGAGCGCACCCCCAGGGCCCTGTTCCCTTGTAGGCTCTGGCCGGCCTGGGGGTGGGAGTGACCAAAGAGACCTTGCCCTGTCCTTGGGGGGACTGTCACCCCGGGGGCTCTCATCCCATCTCCCAACATCCCCCAACCTGACCTGCCACCCTTCTGCTCCTGCAGAATCCGCCGAAGAGACTTCTGCTCCAGCGTCCCCGTGGGACAGCCTGCCCTCGGCCCATGCCCCCATTAAAAGCTCGGGACCCGCCTCGTGTGCGCTGGTTTTGTCTCCTGCTGGAGGCCGTGGGCTTGGAACCGGCCTGGTCTCTCCCCTAGCTCTCGGGTTCTTTCTGTGAGGTGGGGCGATAAACATCAGCTCAGCCTCAGCGGTCCAGAGGCTGTGGCCACAGAGGTCCTCGGAGGTCTGCAGCAAACCGGAGAGTGGGGGTACAGGGGGAACAGCCAGTGAGCCCAGGCCGGGTAGTGGGCGGGGTGCCGGCCTTCAGCCAAGAGGATGTGGGTGGGCAAAGGTGCCCGCCAGGTCTGGGGACAGCGGGGTTGGGGGGGTGGCGTGGTTGAGCTCCTGCTGGACAGACATCTGGGGGTCTGCCCTCCTCCCAGCCATGACGCCTGCCCCTGGGCTCCCGGCCGCCCTAGCGTGCTGGGAAGGGGCGGGTCCTGCTTGCTCCCACGGAGGCCCCGCCCTGTGCTCACCCCGCCTGTGGGTGGCCCGGGCTGGCCTGGCGCCTGATCCCCGGTGCTGTTGGCACCTCCGTGGCACCCAGTCCCTGGGCCGGCCCCAGATGGGGTGGGGCGCTGGGCGGAGGCGGCTCTGGCACGGCACAGCCCCAGTGCTGCCTCACCTCCTCCCGTTTGCAACTGTGGGGGTGGTCAGACGCTGGCTCCAAGGGTCCAGGTGGCTAGCAGGGCACTTCAGGGCTGGGGGTCTCTTTGTCCTCCTCCCCTGTTCTGGGCTTGAGCAGGGCTGATGGGGGATTCCAGCGGGGTGAGTGTGAGGGAAAGCCTGGGCCACCCTGTGTGTCACGGGCAGCCAGGAGGTGACGGGAGGCCACCCTGGGGCACGTCATCACGGATGGGCTGTGCACTCGTGTGTCACGGTCCCGTGTGAGTGACTGTTCCTTTGCGCTTTCAAGGCTGGACACGATGGGAGACGCATGCGGGGGCGCTGAGGCAAAGTGGTAGCTGTGGGGCATCTGTCTGGGTTCCCCTTAACTCTTGGCCACTGAGGCCCAATCAGCCGCCTCTAGATCCCCAGGAACCCGCAGCCCCACCCCTCCCCGTCCCGGGCTCTAAGCCCAGGTCCTCGAGTTCCTGGCCACCCCCGGTGCTATAAATAAGACCAAGGACACTGCTGGGGGTGGGCGGGGGCCTGAGGGGGGACACCCTCACCAAGTGGCAGGACCAGTGCCCCCCAAACCAGGCACCCCCTGCCCGCACCCCCGTGCCCTGAGAGGCCTCGGCCCCTGGCTGGGGGACATAGCCAGATGCAGTTAGGACCCCCCAGCACAGCACAGGCCCCCTGGGGAGGTGTGAGCCTAGGGGACACGCACATCTGACGTGGGCTGGTGGGAACAGCCCGTGCTAGCCAGGCTGTGTCCCAGGGCAAGAGAAAGCCAGGGTGGGGCACCTCACAGGGCCAGGAACCAGAGGTCGTGACCCCTTCTGCCAGGGCAGACAGGCGCCCGAGGGTTCGTTATCCTCCTGGGAAGGGGGGCCCTCGTGACTTGTGTGTGCTCACCCTGGGACTGCCCGATGGAACGTGGGGACACCAGGCAGGAAAAAAAGTAGGAAGCGTGTCAACTTAGCAGGTTTATTCATTGGGCCTGTAGCGCCAGGCCGGCCCCTGCCCCTACCCCAAGTGTGACCCAGGAGGGCCACCCCCCTCCCCCAGCAACCAGAGGTACAAAGTCTTAGATCCCCTGAAGCCACACAGCCCTGCCGGTCCTGGAGCCCCTGCAGCGTGGAGTGGACGTGCTCCGGCTCCAGGAAGCAGGGCAGACCTGGCTCCCAGGCCCCTCCCAGGCCCCCAGGCACAGCCCCTCAGCCTGGCCCCCGGTGTGGCTCAAGCACCCAGAATTTCAAGGTGGCTGTTCCTGCTTCCTGCAACCCCATCCTCTTTGGCAAACTCCTATCTACCCCTCAACCCCTGCCCCAGTGATCCCCCCACTCCCAGGGTCTCCCCCAGCTCCTCCCTCCGGCCCAGCCCTGACTGCGAGGCTGGGAGTGTCTGGGTGTGCCAGTATCAGGGTGGGGGGCCAGAGGCTGCAGGAGCGTTGGGTGGGAGCAGGACGGAGGCCTGGAAAGGAACACAGCCCTGGGAGGGGCACCCAGGGCCAGGGTGGGGGTGGAGGTGGTCAGGCCAGATAAAGGGAGAAACCAGATAAGTGGACAGGGGGTGGGGGATTAGGGCTGGGGACCCCCTCCTCTGGGCAGAGGGCACAGGGGGACCCACAGGGCCCCACCCCAACCAGGATCATTCTCCACCAGAAAGCCCCCTAACCCAGGGCACCCTGCAGGGACAAACAGGACATGCCAGGTTTCCTCTGCTGCTGGCTGCGTTGCCTCAGTTTCTCCATCTGTATGATGGGTAGGGTGGTTGTGTTCACCTCAGAGGCTGGGTGCCAGCCTGTGAGCATGCGTTAAGGAGCAATGACAATGTCGCTGGGCCTAGGGGAGGGCCCTACATCCCCAATCCCCAGAGTGAGCCCTGCTGGACTCTCGTTTGTTTCATTCCACGCCCTGCCCCCCACCCGGCTGGAGAGACTGAGGCTCAGAGAGGCTAGTGTGCCCCTAGGTCACACAGCCCAGTGAGTCGTGCTCGCGGCACACGGCAGGCCTGGCGCAGGTTAATCGCTCCATAAATGCCCTCTGAGGTCACCGTTAAGGGATGCAGGAGGCCGGGCTGCTGGGGCAGCTGGCAGGGGCACCCCCACTCCAGGCAGGTGACTCCGGCCTGTTTTCCTGGACCGCAGCCGCTGACTCAGGACCCCCTTCCTGCCCCCCCACGCGGGCGCCCCCAGGCGGAAGCACCAGGACTGGGACCGCAGGAAAGGGGGTGGGGCAGGGAGCTCGGCTGTGCACCCCGAAACCCTGTCCCGG